GAAAATTTTGCCGAAATTTAAAGGGATACCTTAGATCCCTCCATCACGTTTAAATAAAATCCTAGCAAAAAAGAAGATAGCTATAGCAAATTTAATTTTTCGAAATTCGTAAGAAAATTTTGCCGAAATTTAAAGGGACACCTTAGATCCCTCGATCATTTTCAAAGAAAATTCAAAGAAAAAAGGAAGGTGTACCAAATACCTAGATCCTTCGATCGTTCGCTTTCGATGCACGCGTGATTCGAATTCCAGCCGCGACGATTTTCAAGGCCACGGTCTCCTGGAAAAACTATCGTCGCAAAAGGCGTGAAAGATCTAGCAAACGAAACGTGTTCGTCTCTTGGTCGAGTGTCGCTCCCTTTACGGTGCCCCACGATTCCATCCGTTCGATCTCTACACAACAAACCTAAGTTCCTCTAACGAGCATAGTCTAGGTCAGTACACATGCTGCACGAAGATGAGTTTCACTCTCGACAAGAGATGCGAAAGCGAACGCGTCCCACCTTGCTGGATCCGTCGATCGCGTGCAAAACCTGGATCGACGGATGTGAAACGCTAGGTATATAAAAGCTAGGAAATCCAGGCGACTGATTTACTTGTATTTAGTCTGGATCACGCGCCGTAGGATCTTAGAAAAATGGGTTACACGGTACGTTACAAGTGTCGCAAAAAACATTCTAAGTAGAGTTAAATTCAGCGCGACAGTGTTGCAAAGTGAATCACCGAAGCAGACTGACCTCTAATTTACTTTACAGAGAAGCGCAGCAATCTTGCTGATTCTCTTCGTCGCGACGTCGTCCAGTTACCCTACGAACCAAACTAAACCGTCAATATCCCAAAAGAATGATCAAACAACATGCACCAGGCCTCAAAGGTACCTCAGACAGGAACGAACCTATCGCACCACGGACGCGAAACAAAGAACAACCTCCGAAGACAGGAACCAAGGATCAAAATCAGGGAATTCAGCTGTGAAACGCTGTACGTACCTTAAGGTATCCAAAATATACCGAAACTAACGATGAAACAAACTTATTACAGACGATCCTCATAACCAATACTTAGACGACCATCCAGAAGCAGAGCACCTCGAAGAAATCGTGATGAACAGTTCCTCCGTGGAAGATGAAGGAGAAAGCTACATAGGAGATCAAGACACGGAGCAGGTCCTCGATAAAATCCCCCACGAGGGTCAAGTTCTAGGCCACGACATCCACGAGGACGTGCACAAGATGATCACAGTGATAAAAAAGGTGGCGGTACCTTATCCAGTCGAGAAAACCATTCGTTACCCAGTGATCAAGAAGATTCCCTATCCTGTCAAGGTAGCAGTACCTCAACCTTACCCAGTCGAGAAGAAAATTCCCTATCCGGTGAAAGTTTACGTCAAGGTACCTATAAAAATCCCGAAACCCGTAGCAGTGATCAAAGAGGTACCTTATCCGGTTCAGGTACCGGTGGATCGTCCTGTACCAGTGAAAGTCTACGTACCAGATCCTTATCCAGTTGAAAAAAAGGTTCACTACGAGGTTAAGGTACCAGTACCTGAACCGTTCCCTATAGAAAGAAGGATACCGGTGGCTGTCAAGGTACCAGTGCACGTACCTCAACCTTATCCAGTGGAGAAGGTGGTCCATTATCCGGTGAAAATCGAGGTGGAGCAACCTATACCGGTACCGGTACCTAAACCTTATCCCGTACCTGTGTCCAAGCCTGTTCCCTATCCTGTCGAGAAGCCAGTGCCTGTTCCAGTTCACGTGGAGGTACCTAGACTGGTACCTGTACCGGTCGATAAACCGGTTCCTGTGAAGGTGAAGGTCCCGGTACCTGTACCTTATCCTGTGGAGAAGGAGGTACCGTATCCTGTGGAGAAACCGGTACCTGTACCGGTGAAGGTGCCGGTTGATAGACCGGTACCTGTGCACGTGGCGAAACCTGTGGCTTATCCTGTGGCGAAACCGGTACCCTACCCCGTTAAGGTGCCTGTACTGGTACCTGACGAGGAGGAGGAGGGGGAATTGGAGCTTGATCTAGGGCAGCAGGACTGGAGACGATGAGGGAACCAGAGGGATGGCGGAATTTTTCTTGGAATGTGGTTCGAGGAGATTTTTCTTTGGAAAGTGGATTAGGGGTTTTATGAGTAAATGGAGGAGGGAGAGTGAGGGAAAATGTAGAGGGCGCCGGAGTACCTTGTTCGATTCTCTTTGGATCTCTGAAATTTTTTTTTTGCCAACTACTGTGTGAGGTCTATGAACACTTTTTAAGGTTTTTTTTTTTAATTAACTATGTCAGCAAGAACGAGGAAAAATATAGAGGGCGCGGTGGTGTTGTGTGCAGAGTTTCAGCTTGGATTTTTTCGGTCTCTCAAATATTTTTTCGGTTCCTTCAATATGAAAATTTTTTAGAAGAAGAAGAGGTAAATAACTAAGAGTAAAGTTCAAGATTCAAGGTTTCTCGTGAAAAATTGTCGAGTAGAGTGGAGATAGCGCTCTGTGTGAGGACATTTCTAAGGGTACCTGCCGATAGTTGCTCTCAAGAGTACTCTCGATACTCTGTACACTGATAAATTTCACTCTCGAGAGTAACTCGCGATAGCTTTACCCTCAAACGAGCGAAGTGTAACTTCGTACTCGTAAAAGAGAGCCACAGAGTCTACGTCTACGTAAACCAACTTAGCCACCATACTTTTAAAAAAACGTTCAACAGTGACCTACATAGATGCAGTGTACCTTTACTTTCCGGACAAACCCCATTTCCTGTGAAATGCAACGGTTTGTAGATTCAGGGATCATCGAGCTACTCTAATGTTTCTCTCCACAGACAACAGGTGCTTTTATATTTGTCAGAGTTTGTTAACGTTTTCTGTAGTACGTAGATGTTCCCCCTTTTCCATATCAGAAAATTAAGTGTTGCTTATGATAATAAAAAACGAGGTAACCTTCGAATGCGCTACTTCAAGAAGATTTTAACCCTTCGCGCTCAGACTTTTCCTCTAATAAATCTCACAGCAACTCGGACTTTTTTTTTACTACGGACATTATCTCTTTTTGCGTTCTTCATCATTGAAAGCACACTTTGAGTGCTTGAAGGAGTCACTTCGAGTGCAAAGGGTTAATTAGAATAGGTATCTAGAGGTTCTTTAACGATTTTTTACACTTTTCACACGGCTAACGCCATCTTTCTCGAACACTGCAGCTTGCAACGAAGCATATTTCGTTGAGAACTGCATCGAACCGCAACGAGTATCGACTGCACAGTTTCTATTGTAGTACATGCGCATTCCGCGAGAGGTTGTACGTTGTAGAAATAAACGAATTTTATATAAACATTTGCTAGTAATTTCTCCTTAATTAATTCCCTGTCCTACCGATTAAGACAAAATGACCAATTTCCAATTCTGGTCTGGTGTCACTTTGGAAAATAAAATGTAGGTCGAGTCCTTGTAGAGCAATTTAGATCAACGACATTTCTTCTCTCCGCGAACACAGCGAAATCTAGAAATAGTTTTCATTCGAGTCACGCGCGCTTTCGCTTCCGCGTAATTGCACCGATGTCTCGTGCGGTAATTGATTCATGCCGCGACATAACCCGCAACCTTGATCGAGACTTTCCACATAATCGATATTAGCGCGAGCCGCTTGAAGATGACTTAATTGAAAAGTAACGAACGCGGTGCCGCGTGAATCGAAAGAATTAGCCGCCTCGGAGCGGGAGTGGTCGTTCGCAAAATCTCGTTGAATCGCAATTTCTTGTGACTTTTATAAAAGTAACGAGCCAATATTAAATAATGATAATTTTTATTTAACTGAAACTTCCTGAAAGTAATAAATTATAATAATATTAGACAGTGATAATTTTAATTTTACTCAAGCTTTATAAAAATGATAAATTAATATCAGATAATGATAATTTTTACTTCATTCAAATAGTAAACTATAGTAATTCTTATTTCAGACAACGATAACTTCACAAAAACAATAAACAGGCATCAGACAACGATAACTTCAATTTCACTTCAGTTTCAATTTCCAAAAAAGGCCATCCGAAGTGTCTCGCTCCAAAGTTGCAACCAGTTGCAGCTTTCCACCTTTTCTCCCCTGTTCTTCGAAAAATCTTCACTTTTCCACAATGCGCATTTTCAACTCTTCGCATTTTCGAATTCACGTGCGAAAAGGGTATCGATTCGTGTTCAAACGTTTCTAGTTGGATTATCGGAGACGTAGGAAGAAAGCTACGTGTTTAAAATGGAAAGACCGCCGGTGGAGAACTTTTATACCGGTTACAGTTTCACTCGAGAAACTCGATGACTTTTGTGATCGGTGAAGAGAGCCAGAGAGGAGACGGTAAGAAAGAAGTGAAATAAAGGTACGTGAGGAGACTGAAGAAACAAATTCCCGTTCGTTTTATATGTAATAAATCCTAGGAATATTATCTGTTGCGAAAGGGATGAAGTAAAAAAGAAAAGGGATATATGGGGTTCATAATTTCGTTTATTCGCGAATGGAAGAATGGAAAAAGGCGACTTCACGATGGCGCCAGGGTTTTACGATTATCCATAGAAAGTAGCCATTCTCGCTTTCATCCTGTTAAACGTAAATATTGAGATTAATGAAGCAGAACCTTAAATACGTTCTTTCATAATTCTCCAACATTTTTATTCTACTTCTGATTTCCTAGAACCTTCGAATATTCAACTGTGAAAATTTCCCTCCGCGTTAAATTTTCTGGAAATTATTCAAACGCAATCACCGACATTTTCATTCCATTATCTAATTTCCCAGAAATTTCCTTCGAATATTCAACTAGAAAAATTTCCCTCCATATTAAATTTTCGTCGAATTTTCTGAAAATTATTCTAACGTAATCACTAACATTTTCATTCCACTTCTACTTTTCTAGAAATTTCCTTGGAATATTTAACTACAAAAATTTCCCTCCACACTAAACTTTCGTCGAATTTTCTAAAAATCGTTCAAACACAACCTGTCCCGTCAGCATAAATGTCAATATCAGCGACCAGCAAGAAACATCTGTGCACAATTGAGAAGGTACTAAAATTATCCGTAAATTTTCAGCGAGCAAGATTGCTCAACCGAGCAACGATCTCTCACATTCGCTTCCGTGACGATAATTCAGCCAAGAGTTATTCTAAAATTTCTTCTCAGCTGAATAAAACCACGTTTTACGAGCCTGCCACACGCTTCCGCGCTGTTTAGGACCCGATCAAACCCAGACCCAATTTCCCTGGAAAAAGCGTGGACCGTTTAACCGTGGATAATTGTCGCGAAGCGAGGTCGTTGCAAGTCTATAAAGGTTCAGTTGGACGGAAAGTCGGGCGAAAGTCGTCCACCGTGTATAAATAATAGCGGAGCAGCATTCGTTTGGATTCAGTGCATCTTGATCTACCGACACAGTGAAGAACTATAGCTTGTAAAGAACACATCGGTTCGCCACTTGTCAACCTTTCTTCCATCATTCGCGATCAGTACCAGTGTAATCGACGAAACGAGAAAAGAATTACTTTCTAACACCTTTGATCCACCTTTCGTAACTTTTCAATACCGAAATGTCAGATAAGATTTATGGCCTGGTTAATTGCTGATGGTATTCCGTTTCTTCTTCCTCCTCGAATTTCTCTTCAGGAGTGAAAGTATATACGTGTACTGTAAAGTTCAAGGGTTCTCAGTTTCCCACTTGTTCTCTCTCTCTCTCTCTCTCTGTGCGTGTTTTTTCCGCACACAAAAATATGGAAAGTCGAGGAACTTATGTGATCTCCTTCGCGAAGGAGAAAAGTGTCATCGCGTTGATATGCTTCTCCATGGTCCTCGCCTGTTCCGCCACTCGAAAAGAGGACTTGGAGCGAGCCGCGGAGCTAGCAGTGGAAAAGGTAGCAGAGAGGGTAGCAGAGAGAGCAGTGGAGAAGGCTTTGGAGAGTGGAAACACGACGACGGAATCGAAAACAGTTCGAGAATCCTACTCGAGCGTCAGAAAAGTACCTCATCGCGAGGATCCCACCTACGACGGTCGTTTGTCGTCGATGGAAGACGAGAGTGACCAAGAAGGCGATCCAGAAAACTGGCCCAGGTACTCGAAGAGATTTGAATCCAGGTCGTTCAAAGATTGGCCGAGAAGATTCCTCAACACCGGCTGGAGAAGGATCCCAAGAAGCGAGCTACCCGCAGGAACGAATCTCTGGCAGAGACGAAAGGTGGTGACCATCGAGAAAAAGATACCGGTGCCTGTGACAATCGAGAACAGAGTACCTTACACTGTCTACAAACACGTCCCGTACGAAGTGAAGGTACCGGTACCTCAACCGTACACGGTCGAGAAGAGGGTACCTTATCCGGTCCGAGTGTTCGTGAACGTACCGGTCGAGGTACCTGAACCGTACACAGTCGAGAAGAAAGTACCTTACGAGGTGAAGGTGGATCGGCCGGTACCTTACAAAGTCGAGGTACCGGTACCACAGCCGTACACAGTCGAGAAAAAGATACCTGTCGAGGTAAAAGTGCTGGTACCTCAACCGTACACCATCGATAAAGCAGTTCCCTATGAGGTGAAGGTACCTATTAAGGTACCAACGCCGTACGGGGTGGAGAAACGGGTACCTGTACCGGTCAAAGTTTTCGTCAACAAACCGTACCCGGTTGCAGTACCTAAACCGTACCCAGTGGAGGTCGGCAAACCTTATCCGGTACCTGTTGCGAGGCAGTATCCTGTCGAGGTTAAGGTACCTGTTGACGCACCGTATCCGGTACCGATAGAGAGGCCTGTACCTGTGGCTGTAAAGATACCTGGACCTGAACCGTATTCTGTGGAGAAGACGATCGAAGCGGAGGTGAAAAAACCTTACGCTTTGTCTGTCAAAGCGGATGTTGACAAACCGTTTCCCCATTGGATTCAGGTACCTGTCGCGGAGAATCTCGATTGGAACGGAGGTGAATCTTACGGGATGGTGGACAGGGGGGATTCGAGCGAGAATAAGACGACTGTAGAAGTTGACGATAAGAGTAAAAATGGATGAATGGTTTTTCGTGGAAGTTGTTGATCGAGGATGTTGTTGTGTACCTATTGTTGATTGTTTTTTTTTTTTTTTTTGTTATTTATTGCGAAATTCCGGCATAGTTTGATTCCTCCAGAGGCAAAGATGTTTGGGATTGTTAAGTAGCGCGGCAATTGCGTTGATTTTTCTGTTTTATGGAAATAAAGACGTGCAAACGTAACAGATTGTTCTTCGTCTCTGTTGTTTCTTCTTTACCTTTCTCAGGATGTTTTTCCGCGATTCGATGAATTTCTCGCCGGATAATCGAGCGCCGGTGTGCGAGTTTCCCACGGAAAACTGGCGAATATCGCGGTTGATACGCGCGCGGCTCTACCCGATTCTTTCCGTGGAAACTCGTTTGTTAATACTCCACCTGTGAATTCTTCGAATGTACGCAATGCTAGGATCGCGTAAACCTCAGTTATGCGGTTTTCACTGTACGAAACGGAGTAGCGAGATCGTGGAAAGATTATCCGAGGATCGTCTATCGTAAAATGCTACTTAATTTCTCTCGCGATTCGTGATTTGTTGTACATAAATTCACCACCTATCCTGAATCATCAAATCAGGTTTCTATCTAATACAAGACGTTTCGCAAATTTTCTAAATTTCATCAACGCGTTGTACAATTAACAATTAGTTGAAAATATCACGTGGACACAGGTGAATGAATAAAATTACGACGAAGAATAAGATCGTCGATCCTGTTTCTTCCATTCCCTCCCTCAATTTTACCGTAAATTTTCCTAAAAGAATTTCCTTCTCCGTTTCATTCACGAACAGAATCCACCGACGAGGTTTCAACAACACAGAACAAAACTTCTACCGTGATTTATTGAAAGAGAAGAATCAGAAAACGTTTCACTTACAACCTATCAACAGTATCATCTATCCCCCTCGCCATTTCACTTTCAAGACCACGTAATTGATGCCTAAACTCGCGATTAAAAGGCTCTCCGCATCGCATACTGTTCCACCAGCTTCCTCCTCCCGTCCCGCCACGTTTTCTTCCAGCATTTTGCCCCGGAATCGCAAGACCTGCGTCACGGAAACCAGCGGAATTATTCGGTAAGACGAGAGAGTAGCCCTCTCCTAAATCCGCGGCGTAACGCAATTAACGTTCATCGACGCGTTGCAACTACTGTGCCTCGAGATCTACACGATCGATCTCGGTGTAGTTTCATCCAAGTGGTTACTACCGACATGTAGGATCGTATGTCCAGTTTCCCTCTCTCCGCGTACACACACACTCGCTCTCCCTCTTTCACCGGTTCACGTTTTCTTCGTTTTCTTCTTCTTCGCCTTTTCATTCGTTCACCCTTCCACCGAGATTCTCTTCCTTCCTCAGGCTCTCTTCGTCCGACCAAAGGACCCCGTCGCGGACCAGAAGACTCGACAGTCGCGCGTCCTTCCGTGGGGACCGGATGCGGAGGGGGCAGTAGTCCTGACGAGAAACTTCGAAATGTGGAAGTGGACGGGTGAGAAGGAGGGGAATCGTTGCGCTCCTCGAGCTAAGGTGGAGAGGATCGGGGAGGACGAACGCGAATTCGCCAAGGCAACGGCGTAGAAGGGACTGTTTTTTTCTAGATTTTTGTTATCTTTCGAGATATCGGATTGTACACGAGATTGTAGGTTATTTTGTATTTTTGAATGCTGATTTTCTTAGGCGATTTTGTGTCGAAACTCTGCAGTCGTGTTTATTGTGAAATAAAAAAAGTTCGTCGTATTTTTCAACACTGATTCTCTTAAGTAATTTCGTGTTGGAGATTTTGAGGAAACTTTAGTCGTGTTTATGGTAAAATAAAAAAAATTGTCGTATTTTTGAACACTGATTCTCTTAGGCAATTTTAGGTTTGAGATTTCGAGGGACTTTTAGACTCATTTATCGCGAAACAGAATAATTTTGCGAATTTTTCAG